TATCTTAGTATTGGGTATGGTCTGTTATACAGTATTTTGAATAATTAGCATAATTGTTGCTCTCTAATAAATTTACTTGGTTATGAAAAAGGATATAAAAATATCTGATATTCTAATGTTTATTTTATTTAACATTTTAGAGGTCCTGCCGTGTGCTCCTAACTATGTCCTTGGTGCTGGACCTTCTGCCTTTAATTAGAGTCTAATATATGTTAGTACTTGTACCACTTCCTAGGCAGTAAAATACTTTAGAACTGTTAGCTCCATTTTCTTCTCCATTGTTTTATGCTGTTTTCATCCTACATTTTAACCTACAGATATTTGAAATCCTCCAAGGCATTACACTTACTGTTTTTTGCAGTCAGTATTTATTCAGAATTCCTGACGTTACCTTTTTTGTTGCTACTCCTTTCTGTGTTTTTTTCCTTCTGTCCACTGCTGCTCATTTTCCTTCAACTTGAACTCTCTTCGGTATTTCTTCTAGTGCAGCTCTTACGGTGACAAGTTATCCCAGGTTTGGGCCTGAAAATTTCTTTAATTCATCATCCTTTTTGATGGATAGTTGTTACTGTTAATTGAATTCTAGGTTGGCAGTTTTCTTTTTATACTTTAAAAATGTTCATTGTTTTATTGCTTCCATCGTTCCTGTTGGCAAATCATCTGTTGGTTACTGACTGATGATTTTCACCTGTTTCCAGCAGGTTAATTATTCACATTCAAAGTGTAATTTTCTTTGTATTTATTCTACTTGGGGTTCGTAGAACTTCTTGAATCTGTGGCTTCAGTTTTAGAAAATTCTTAGCTTTTATCTCTCTCAATTTGGTTCAGTCCCATCGTCCTTTCTCTCCTTCAGAGAGACTCCAGTTTTACATATATTTGAGCTTTTCACTCTGCTTCATGTCTCTTAGCTTCTTTACATATTTTCCACCTTTTGACTCTGCTGCAGTCTCAGTGCTTTGCAGTCACGTGCTTCCTGTTGGTCAACCCCGTCCATCCGTGACCAGTTCGCTCCTAACCCCATGAACCGAGTCCTTAATTTCAGTTATTCTACTTTTTTAGTGTAGAAATTCAAACTTATTATTACTAGATTCTAGTTCTCGGTTAAAATTCTCCATCTTGCCATCTGTTTCCTTGAATCTATTCATATAGTTATTTTAAAATCTGTGTCTCCTAAACTCAGTATCTGTATTACTAGTTTTTTCTGTTGTTCCTGTAACCTGATATGTCTGGTAATTTTTTTTATTATATTCTGGACATCGTATACAAAAACTCACAGGGGCTCTGGAAGATGTTTTCTTCTAGAAATAATGTATTTTGCTTTTGGCAGACAGTTAGGTAAGGGGCAGATCACTTTAACCCAATCAGGCATTGAGTTCATTTAATGCTGAGCCTCCGTCTTTGTAAAATCCTGTTTCCCCTTTATCTTCACAACCATAACCCTTCAAGGGTCTCAGTTAAAAGCCTTGAGTGTTTACTGGGCCTTTTCTCTCTGGTGAGCTCTGAATTCCAGTTTCTCCCTTCCCCACCCCGTGAAACTGGCAGAAGCTCCGCTTAGCTTCTTCCCTGCCGCTCTGCGCTTCACACGCAGTGTTTCGGCCTGGCCCGGACTGGGCAGATGCTTCAAGAAGGAGAATGGTGCGGAGACTCAGTTACTTTGACCTTCTCTCTGGAATCCCAGCCGCCGAAGAGCTTTGGTAGCTTTTTGATGACTTCAACACATTTAAAATGAAATCTCTCTTTTTGAGTTGTTCTTGGCAGGAGAGTTGTTCTGATACACACTAATCAGTCAAAGCCAGAAGCCAGGAATTTCATTTTTAAGAATTGTTTCCAAGAAATCATGACAGCCGTATACATTTTCCTGACCAGAGAGGTATTTCTGTTATTTTAAAATCAGAATCCTTCTTATCCCCTAATTCCATAATTGCTAGGTAGTGGAATTTTCTAGATTATGAGACCGTTGAGTCTGGAATAGAAGAATGTACACTGGTCTGTAGTTGGTAATGTGGCCACACATCTGTAACTCTTCTCCAGGTTGAGTGCTCCTGGTGTCTTTTATATCTTCGTATGTAACACTTCCTACCTTACGTAGTAACCGTTTGTTGACTTCTCCATCTCCTCTGCTAGACTGGGAGCTCCTCTGCTATAGCTATCGTATGTTCAGTGTCTACCTCAAAGTGCCGCATTTAGAAGGTATTTAGAAAAGGTTTTTAGAATAAAGGGCTCTTGTAGATAAGTTTACTAACACAGATGGATAATATCCTTTAAACTCTCATTAGCAGTAGTTTGATTTCGGAAAGGTTTTTTTCACCCTGACGTTGCCCACATTTTAGATGAGTAACCTATTTAGAGTCCCTGGATTCCCATGAAGTGAATGCATTCAGGGGACTTTTGGGTTCTCTGGGTACTGAGACAGTGGAAGAGACTGACGATAACGTACCAGAAGGGAAGAGACTGATAACGTGGATAACACGGACATTTAGAAATGGCCATCAGGAGATTCGTGCTCACCTTGCCAATAGCCCGGGTCTCTGAATATAAAGTTTGGAGTTGAGTAAAAGGTACAACAGAACAAATAAGGAGTACAGTACTCTCCTGGACTCATGATCCATCTAGTCCAGGGCTCTGGTTCTGGTTCCAACACACTTCATTTTGTAGCAGTGCTTCCTTTACTGTCATCGGCTTACGACGTGCACAGGAAGACTTAGGTTTTATTTGAATCAGGTAGATATTTTTGCTGTATTAAAGGTTAAAATTACAGTCCCATTAGATAATACTCAAATTATTCTGTATGAACAAATACCTGACCTACTTTGCTTTTATTTCAAATGGCTGGTATCTGAATTCCACTAAATGTATGTGAGTTTATTTCTCCATTTAATTTAAACTTGGACTTATTTAAATTAAGGATTTTGTTAACTGACAGATATCTCGCTCTCTTTCAGGTTCAGACCTTCATGCTCAGCATTTGGCATTTCCAGTAGCTTGAACCCACAGAGCTACTGGGGCAGTCGCGTGGACTTCCTTCTGCGGGTTTGCATGTCCTGGAGACATACCATCTCACGTTCAAAGGATGGAAATCCGAGGAATCCCTGTCTTCCTTCCCTAATGTTGTCTCTCTCTGTGTTTCCTACCTAACCTGCCCAAATCAAAGCCAGATGAAATGTCTTCTCCAAACTTTTCTTACTCTCAATTTTAGAAATAAAAAATATATTTCTGAGATTCTAGCTTGTTAATGGTGGAATAGCTTGACCATCCACAGGCAATAATGTGAAATACAGACAATTTGAAAGTATTGGAGAGTAACCAGAAGTGGGCAGGTGCAGAATAAGCCTACCCTTCAAAGACAATGGGTGACATTTATTTATGGGTTTTGTCTGAGAACATTCTTCAGTCTTGGAGAAAGGACCCAAACAGAATGTGTCGGAGGATGGAGTTGAAAGCCAACAGAAGAACTAGAAAATGAGAGGAAAAAACAGTAGAAAAAAATTACTGTACATCTGAAGAAATAGGAAAATGCAGTACTTCCTCAAGAGGGAGAAAAGTAGAAGCAGTCCCTGAGGTAACAGATGGCGCAAGAAGCAGACAATGACTTTAAAGCAGCTATTAACAATATATTCAAGGATTTCAAGGAAGATATACACGCATTGAATTCACATATGGGGAATTTCAGCTAAGAAATAGAAACTGTAAAAAAAAAAAGCCAAATAGAAATTCCAAAGCTGAAAACTACAATAACTGGAATGGAAAATTTACTGAATTTGGATTTGACATCAGACTGGAGACAACAACAGAAGAAAGATTCACAAACTAGAAGATCAGTAGAAGTCATGCAGTCTGCCTTGGCTGGTTTTGCTCAGCAGATAGAGTATCAGCCAATAGACCGAAGAGTCATGGGTTTGATTCCCAGTCAAGGGCACGTACCTTGGTTGCAGGTTTGATCCCTGGCTCCTGTCAGGGTTGGACAGAAGGCAACCAGTTGATGTGTCTCTCTCACATTGATGTCTCTCTCTCTCTCTTTCTCTCCCTTCCTCCCTCCCACTTTATCTAAAAATCAATGGAAAAATTTGGGTGAGGATTTAAAAAAAAAATTATGGCCCTGGCCGGTTTGGCTCAGCGGTTAGAGCGTCGGCCTGCAGTCCGGAGAGACCCGGGTTCGGTCCCCGCTAGGGGCACGTACTTCGGTTGCAGTTTGTCCCCGGCCCTGGATGGTCGTGAGGGTGGCAGCCACTCGATGTGTCCCTTCATGTCGATGTTTCTCTCTCTCTCTCCCTTCCTCTCTCTCCCTCCCACTCTATCTGTACAAAGAAAAAAAAAATGGAAAAATATCCTCGGGTGAGGATAAAAAAAAAAAAAAAATTATGCAGTCTGAAGAATGGAAAGAAAAACAAATCACACATTTTAGGTAAAGACCAGCAATAAAAGAATGGCAGAATCAAAGCGAATGCTAAGTGCTAATACTGGTAATTCTACAAAGAAAAAAATTGAAAAAGGAACAAAACCTAGATTTTGAACATCTAATCCTTGTAGCGTTTCTCCCAAAGGTGAGAGGGAACCTCTTATCTGATTGTGAAGTATGTTTCCCTTGGTTTTCATAAGGTCGTTGCTCTTATGTGGACATCAGTGTCTCAGCTTTGTCCTCTTTCCCCACCTTATTGCTTCAAACGGCTAATGGCGTTTTCCTTCTGTATGCTGTGTGCAGGAGCCAGTTAATTAGTAACAGCAAACACCTTTTGGCAATGGACTAAGGCAAAGGAAGGGTGTGGGAATAGGTGTCATCCCTGAGTGCTTTGCCTCTTGATTTCTTCTTCTGTCGTATTCCACTGTAACTGGAATTTCTGAGTTCTTGATGTATCGAATCATAGTGAAGTACTTCGTTATTTTTAAGCACCGGTCTCTCTTAGAAGTCAGTGGTACAGAATACCAAATGGTATTTCAGAATCAGTGTACTTTCATGATCGATCCTCGAGACAAAACTGTTTCCTTTGGTTCACACTTTGTAGGTGTTTCACGAAAACCAACGGCACTTTCAGCAGCAGCCCCCTTTCGGTGGTCCCCGTGGTGGCACCTTGTCCTCGGGATGGTTTGGAGATGAAGCCCCTCAGTCACACGAAGGTGCCTGTGTGTCAGGCTTCCGCCACCCCCGACTGCCGCCAGTTACCTGACGAGAGCATCAGGGACGGTGTGGCACCGAGACCTCAACATACTTGCTGTCAGGACAACAGGCATGAGGCCAACCCTGGCTCCACAGAAGATGCAGCAGAGTGCAGCAGAGGTACAGGGAGACGTTGTAACCTTTGCGTGTCTAGACAGTCTTCGTTTAGCTGGAGAGAAGGGAAGATGACGCAGGTGTGTTCTCTCTGTGACCACTCACATACTTCTTAAGAGACAGGGTGGGGGTGTTGGATACTTCACTAACAGTTGACTAGGTAGATTTTGAATTTTTGTCATTATTCACCTTCTTCCTCTCAGGCTGTGAATCCCATTACACCTTGGAAAAGAAATCCAAATAGGCTTAGACTCAGCGTGCACCTGGACAGCAGGCTTGCTTGACGAATGCATTCTGTGGTCATGGCCTGTTTCATTCGGGTTGATTCTGGAGTTGTAGCCTTTCTTTACAGTGGTTATTTTAGGGCTTTTAAGGGTTTTGCTCCAACCCTGAGATGAGTTGTGTAACTGTTCAGCAGAGCTCAGCTTCATTTTAAACCTTTTCTACCTTTTGTCTCCCTCAGATTCAAACTGAACGTACCTGGGCTCTGCTTTGACTCGCGGTTCTTTCTCTCCTGCTCGGAGGAATGTGCTTAGGCGTTGAAATAGCCTACGACTTCGTAATGCGCCCAAACGTTTGTGTTTTTCAGGAGACAGCTGTGTCCACTCAGAAACAGAGAACAAAATTTTAAGTTGGAATCCTCTTATTTTGCCACCTGCTCCAAAGGACTGTACTGAGAAGATGGCCTGGTCTGCTCCTGGCATTCCTGTAGCCAGCCCTTCGGGGGTCCTTCAGCAACCCCAGGAAACCTGAGACGTGCACATGACTAGTCACGTCCCACTTGGAGCAGTCACCGCACAGAACAGGCCTGGGAATGGACTGTGTGAAGGACGTTAATGCAAATCGGAGGAAAAGCATTATTTATTTTTGTAGTAGTAATGTCATATGAATGTATCTTAAAATGTGTGCCCTTTTATATTATTTATGCCTTAAAATTTCTCCTCCCAGTTTCTTCCTGCCCCTCAGCAGGAAACAGCCGAGTTTTACAGTCTTCCATCATCTCAGCATCGCATGTCCCCGAGCTCGGGGCAGGGAGAGCCCTCCCGCAGCGCCCGCCTGCGGGCTCACTGGCTAAGCGGGAGTCAGGCCCTTGCGGTTTGCAGATGGAGAGCTGCCTTTCGCTGTTGTCACCAGGCGGTCGGAACCTGCTGTTCCCAGTCGCAGAGCTCCTGGTGTTGACTAGAGCCTTCCACAGAGGTGGCCGCCCTCTCGGGCTGCACGTGGGCACACGCAGTCACACGCATGACTCGCGTGGCTGAGGCCTGGCTGAGCGGTCGCAGTCTGCAGAAAGGCAGCCAAGGCCAGGGAACGCCTTCCAGTCCTGTGGTTCCAAAATGGCATTTGTGTATGAAATAGTCACCGTGGGCCTCTCTGTAGCTGTTTCTAAGAGTAGGACCAAACTGAGACGTTGAACTGATGACTGTAGAGAACGTTTCCACTGGGAGAGGCAGGGGAGGGTTTCAGGGAGCCCCCGGGCGGCCGCGTTAGTGCAGGGCTGTGCCCACGGTGCCGCAGCCGAAGGTCACCCTCTCCCAGTCCCGGCGTGGCCCGCACCTGGGAATTGTGACTGTGAGGAAAGGGGCTTGCAGGGCGAGCAGGGTGTGCTTTGCAATTTCCTGGCGTTCACTCAGAACGTTGTCACTGGAAACAGGCACCTGAAGCTTTGGTTGACAGAGCTCATAAATCACAGTCACGCCGCCCCGGAGCGACGGCACCTGCAGCCGCCCTTGGAAGGCTTTTCTCCGCCTGAAAGCCCCAAGCACTGTGTGGATAGCTCGAGTCCAGCGCCAGTGGGTCATTGCTCCTTTTTGGAATGTGTGTCCCTTTGGGGAAAGAAACTGAAAATGATTCTCTCTAGAGTCCAGCAGTTTCGGCATAAATGGAGAAATTTTACAGTTTCCCAGAAATTATAGCGAAATAGACTAGGATACTATGTTAATCAACTGTCTATATAAGTGCATCCGTATTCCCACACGTTCATATAATTTATAAGCAGAACTGTTCGTGAAAAGCGCTGTTGAAGCTGAGTCACTGTGCAAGGATCCCTCCAAGTAGAGTGTAGTGAAGACAGTTTCGCGGGCAGGAGTTAGGGGTGCTGTAGAGTCAGGCTCTCCGTTCCAGGTGCCCACGCCTGTGCGAGGAGGACGTCTTCGTGCCGCGTGGCTTCCGTCAGCTCTGGAGGCGCATAGCGGCACCCCGACTTCTGTGGCTTGTCAAGGACCGAGTCCTGGGACACTGAATGAGCAAGTACACCCCGTGCCTGCCAGTCAGGTCACAGCGCGCGTTGGAGGACTGGGGAGTCCGTGTGTAGATGCCATTTTGACTCAGGACACAGGTGTGTTAGCATGAGCCTAGGTCATAAACTGCTTCGGAAGATGGAGTTTGAATATGGGGTCTGCCCACCAGGAAGAGAAGACGACTGTACTGCAGGGCAACCTCATTGCGGACTGCTTTATTTATGTTACTAGTAACGCTGTTTTAAGTGTTATCCCTCTTATTGTATTTTATTTATGAAAAATGCCTTTATATATGGAGATATATAAATATAAATATATATATGATTGCCTTTGTTTAGGAGTTATGAGTTCTCCTAACCATGAGATGTTCTAACTGTCACGCCCTGCACAGTCACCAAACCTAGTTCCGCCTGATGGCACTGTGGCGAGGCGCTGGCGTGTGTGCGGCGGGCTCAGAGCTGGCCGCCGCTGTCCCGCCAGCACTCGGCAAGCCTGCAGAGCAGGTGCCGAAGTCCACCAGTGCCGCCCTGAGCTGCAGAGCCTGGCTTTGAACCCAGTCGATGTGGAGCCCTTCTCTGAGCTCCTTCTGTTTTTCCACGCGCTTTGCAAAGGCACTGCGGTTCACTCTGATGAGCCGGCCCAGCTCCGAGAGCTCCCGCCCCGCCACGGGACTCCTGCTGGGGAACTCACGACGGGAGAGCTGCCCTCTGTCCCCCTGGGCAGGGCTCCGTGCCGTGCCTTGGGCTTCCCAGAGCCCACATCTCTCCCTTTAACCCCCACAACCAGAATCTGATCTTCGCTTGGCTTAGTGACGCTGTAGATGGTCAGGCCTCTTCATGTTCCTTGTTGCCTTAGAACTCTGTGATTCTTTGTTTTAACATTAAACTTCCCCCATTCCTGTTACATCATTTCACTGTCTCCTTTTTTCGATCATGCACTGGGTATCTGGTGACAGGTGACAGTCTGGTGGTGTACGGGATGTAAGGTTTTGAGCCTTGCGAAGTGGTCTTTTCTAGCGTTTCGTCCTGGCTTCGTTTCTGTTGCACGAGTGACGGCCAGGGTGTCCCCAGCAAGCGGCCGTGACACGTCTCGTTCCAGCGGCAGCACTGCCGAGAAATCTGATCGTCCGGTTGCACCTGTGTTGCTGTCTTTTAAAGCAGTGACTTTGAGATGCATGTGTTTGTATCATATTGAAAAGTATGTTTCGTTTTCCTTAAAGTTGTAATATTATGTTTGAAGTTGTACATATTTTAAATGATGTAGCTTTGACAGGTTTTATTTGGTTGATACGATTTTATATTAAAGGAGAATGCTGCTTTCATGTAGACTGGCAGTGAGGGGGGGTCTCGGCGACTCCCGGTTTGTAGAAAGCTGCTTGTAGCTTGTGACTGGGGTGGGTGTGTCTTACTCTGAAATTCTTTGCAGCCTCACCCTTCCTCCCGTGGAAACCGCCCTGTGCGTGTGTCCGACTATTCTGACTGCAGAGGTCCAGGCCACGAAGGAACAGGATCCAGGACAAATGTGTTCGGGGTGGGGGCTAGGAAAATACCCGAGCCGTGCAGCCGCGTGGAAGCAGCAGACCCCCTCGGAGGAGCTCGGTGTCCCTTTGCGAGGCGGAGGGGCTCATGGGAGAGGAGTGTGCGGGGGAGGGGGAGGAGTGGGCTCCCCACGTGTCTCCGGAGCTCCGGGGTAGAATCCGGCCTCCGCACGCAGCTTTGTTCAACTGCCTAAAATCAGTACCTCAGCTGCTTTGACCCAAAAGCCAACAAGGTCTTTTGCATGGGGTGGGGCATTGTTATATTTTATTCCCCGTATTTAAATAAGGCTTCTCCAAAACTTAGTCCCAGTCCTGAGAGCTCCGAAGGGACCCAAACCCTGTTTCCAATAAAGTCTAAATCTGTGAGAACCTAAGCAGCAGCTGGAGTTCTGTCCGTTTTCCGTCTCCCCTCGGGTGCCACTTTCCTTACTCAATTCCTGGCAGACCGGCTGGATGCCCTCTGGCTGTGTCCCCTGCAGAGCCAGCTCCCAGCCTAGACTCTTCAGTCGGACAAGCATTTGTCTGTGTTTCTCCGGATTTCAGACACACACGTGCACACACACACACACACACACACACACACACACACGCGGAGCCAGGGAGTCATGCTGGCAGGTGACAGTGACTTTGGAACAGCCTGGGTCCCCTCTCGGCCAGCTGCCCAGGCTGGTGGCAGGAGCTGCATCGGCACTGCCTGTGCTCTGCCTGGTTGGCACCTGGACCTGGCAGCAGACAACTCCAGTGACCTTCCTCCCCCAAAGGTGAGCGAGACCAAGTCCCTGGCGCTGGCACCGGGCTCGGCCACCAGTTCTGACAAGCTGGTCCTACAGGAAAGCTTGTGTCCTTGGGAGGGGATTTGAGGTGTGGGGAGGAAAGAGCTGGAAGACCCCATCTCTCGCCACGTTTGAGTGAAGAGAACGTGTCTACACATCTCGCCCCCTCCTACCTTCCTTCTGGGACCCACCTGAACCCGGGAGCAGCCTTTCCCTGTGGGAGTTGGGGCTGCGATGACCCTCCCTAGTGTGAGCGACGAGTGTGACTTAGGAGTTGCTGGGCCCCTGGACGTGTCAAAAGCAGCTGCGCTTGCTCACAGGGCGCTGTCTCCTGCACCCCTCGGAAACCGCTGGTCTGTCTCCAGCTGCGTCCTCTCCTTCCACCTCTCCCGGCGGGGCCGGGACTTCACCAAGGCATCTGGAGGCAGCTGAGCCTGGCACCAGTTGTAAAGGCTGGGCATTGAGTGGGGGAGGGGAGGTGCCTTAGCTCCCTCACTTTTAAGACCAGCGTGACGGAGGGGCTCTTTCCACCCCGCCTGTCCCCCCTGAGCACCGTCCCCCTGGGGCCTCACGGTGTTGCGTCACTGTGGTGGTGACGTTTGTTGGCGTGCCCGTGGATTCTGTGCAGGACCGGAACCTGGGATGTTGGGTGACCATCAGTGCCTGAAGAGCCGACAGGCGCGAAGGAGAGGCCTTGGGGGTGTCCCAATCAGAGGACGGGAGAGGCCGAGCATCGTGCGTGAGACTCGGGACTGCTCTCCTTGCCCCCAAGTCACCTGTGGGCTACAAGATGCTTCCCCGCCTGTGCCTCTGGGCCTTCCGCTGAGCCTGTGCTGGTGGCCTTGCTCCCCGAGGGCCAAGTGGGAGAGAGTGAGGTTAGGGACAGCCACACCTTCCCTCCCAGCGAGAGCAAAGTCCTGCCCCGGGATGACGAGCCCCACGCGCACGTGGGAACAAGCAGCCGACCACGGCCCGGCCCGTAGAAAGAAGGGGAAGTGTGTTACTGGAGGCACCCAGCCTAAGTCACAGGAGAAGCCGCCCTGGCCCGTAGGCTCTGCACTAGTGACTCGGAACCCAGAGGGGGTGCCCCCGGGGCCTGAGGTAGGGGTTGGAGCCCCACGGATATCTTGCATTGAGGAGATGCCACATACAGAAGAGCCCATTTCCTGCCCGGGGGTTCCCTGCAGCTCCCTGGCATAGGTGGAGAGCTGACTGCCTTCCAGGGTCAAACAACCACCCCATTTCCCATCACGAGGGAAAGTCTCCGGGCTCCGGGCAGCATGCTGGAACACCAGCAGAGAGGCCACGGTTGCCACCACCACCACCGTTCCATGCCTGCAGTGCCCAGCACAGCCGGGAAGGTGCTGAAGGGGGTCCGCCAGGAGGGGAGCACGCTGGTTGCATGGGGTACAGCGCTCAGCACAGCTGGGAAGGTGCTGAAGGGGGTCTGCCAGGAGGGGAGCGCACTGGTTGCATGGGGTACAGTGCTCAGCACAGCTGGGAAGGTGCTGAAGGGGATCCGCCAGGAGGGGAGCAC